TGGTCAGGTGGGGGGCTGGGCTGGGGGCCGGCCGCCATGATCAGGTAGGGGGCTGGGCTGAGCTGAGGGCCTGCTGCCAGGCAGGGGGATGGGAGATGTGAGGAGGGCACTATGGGGGGACAGGCTGGGGGCTGGCCACCATGATCAGGTGGGGGGCTGGGCTGAGCTGAGGGCCTGCTGCCAGGCAGGGGGATGGGAGGTGTGAGGAGGGCACCATGTGGGGACAGGCTGCAGAGAGGTGGAGGAAGGTGCTGGTGGGTAGGGGGGTTTGGGGTGCTGGCCACCACCTCTGGGCTGGATGCGCAGGCTGTGAGGTGTGACCCTGGGATGCCTTTGTCCCTGCCCCCCCAGCACCATCCTGGAGGCCCCGGTGACCGAGCAGGACTTCCTGGAGCAGCTGCATGAGCTGAACAACAAGATGAACTACGTGAAGGAGCAGGCCTTCCGCGAGACCATGGCCTGCACCGACGTGCACCACGTGCTGGACCGCCTGAAGGTCAAGGTGAGCCCCGCCCAGGGAGTCCAGGCTCGGCCCCTCCCCCAGAGCCAGGCCAGCTGGGCTCCGTCTCCCCCAGGCCCCAGCGGTCAGGGGTCACTGGTCAGGCTGCGTCAGCCCCCCTGGGGAATCTCTGTGCACATGGGGTGGCCCTGCTGGTCACAGGGGTGTTGTGGGATGGAGGTGTGGGGGGTGTGGAGCTGAGGGGGTGGGGAGGCGCTGGGGGAAGGGGAGGGTGTCCGCGTGGGCTCAGCCTGCCCTGTGGTCCGTGATCCACTCCCCCTCGACCCTCTGCAGGCTGTGACCAAGATCCGGGAGTTCGTCCTACAGAAAATCTACTCGTTCCGCAAACCCATGACCAACTACCAGATCCCCCAGAATGCCCTGCTCAAGTACAGGTCAGCCATGGGATGGGGGGTAAACGAGAATCTCCCAGAATGCCCTGCTCCAGTACAGGTCAGCCATGGGGTGGGGGGGTCAATCAATGAGAATCTCCCAGAATGCCCTGCTCCACTACAAGTTAGCCAGTGGGCAGCAGGGGCTATGGGGCTCTCCCAGAACGCCCCGCTCCAGTAGCAGGCAGTTCCCCAGACTGACGCGCCTTGGCAGGTTCTTCTACCAGTTCCTGCTCGGGAACGAGCGGACGGTGGCACAGGAGCTGCGGGAGCAGTACGTGGAGACCATGAGCAAGATCTACCTGTCCTACTTCAAATCCTACACCAGCCGCCTCATGAAGATCCAGGTGAGGGGAGCCGGGGAGAGCGGGGCAGCCCTCAGGGTGGTGGTGTAGGGAGCCTCATGGGGCAGGCGTGTGGGGGTGGGGATTCCCACACAGAGTGCTCTGGTTTCCCCCCCATGTGAATGACGGGATCGGGATGGGGAACCCCACGCTATGCCCCTCCCCGTCTGTCCTGCAGTACTGGGAGGAGGGGCTGGGAACCCCACACTGACCCCCGTCTGTCCGTCAGTGTTGAGGGGAGGGGCTGGGGACCCCACACTGACCCCCCCCATTTGTCTGTCTGTCCTGCAGTACGAGGAGGTGGCAGAGAAGGATGACCTGATGGGAGTGGAGGACACGGCCAAGAAAGATATCCTGGCTCCCCTGTGCCTGGACAGTCGCATTCCCAGGCACCCTGCGGGGCAGGGAAAGGGTGTGGGGCTGAGTGGTGGGGGGGCTGGCTGGGAAGGTGACGGGGGGTGGGGCTGGGGGGGGCAGCATCTCCCTGCTCTTTCCCTTGACCCCCGCCCCCCACGGTTTTTCTCAAAGCCGTCCCTGAAGAACCGCAACACGATCTTCACGCTGGGGAACCGGGGCAGTGTGATCGTGGGGGCCGAGCTGGAGGGGCCCATCATTGTGCCCCACGCTGCCCAGAAGAGCGACGTCCGCGTGAGCAAGTGGGGATTCGGGGGGGGGGGAAGAGATGACAGGGACAGGAGGATTGACCTGGCTGGGGGGGAGGGGCGGAAGGCTGTGACCTCTTAGGGCCAGTGGATTAGGGGGGTCACTGGGGAAGCAGGTTGGGGGCGGGGCTGGGGTGTGTGTCCCTCCCCTCCCCCCCCAGCAGTACCCCTTCGAGTCGCTGTCCTGCAGGCCAGCACTACGCCCTGCTGGACAACAGCTGCCGCGAGTATCTCTTCCTCTGTGACTTCTTCCTGGTGACGGGGCCCAGCGCCCAGGAGCTCTTCAACGCGGTCATGGGCAAGACGCTGGCCATGTTCCTGGTGAGCCTAGGGGAGGGGGGGCTCGGCGGGGGGCGGGCCGGGGGGGCGGAGATGGGCAAGGCGCTGGCCATGTTCCTGGTGAGCCTGGGGGAGGGGGGGATCGGTGGAGGCCAAGCCCGGGGGGCGGAGATGCTGGGGTGTTGCTGCGGGGAGGGGGCGGCTGCTGGA